TTTACGTCGGACCTCTCCCTAGGCCGACGTAAATTTACGTCGGACCACCCCAAGCCGACGTAAAAATTGTCTTATATTCCCCAACTTTTCGTTTTCCATTCCTGCGCTCACTATTTACACAAAATTCCTCTGATTTTCTCTGAATTTCTGAGTCTCCCACTGCGTTTAGTGCTACATTCAACGTATCCAAGTCTCTAAGTGTGTGTACGTTGGTCGTTTGAGGTTAGTTTGTTGTCCACGTAATTATTTTCTTTTTTTTTTGCTATTTTTCCCCTGGAACGAGCCGTTCTGCATGGAGAACGGCCCGTTCTGCTTAAATTTTTTGCTTTGTATATTGTTGATCTCGAACGGCCCGTTCTGATTTCAGTACGGGCTGTTGCAAATGCATTAAATATTGACTTTTTCTAGGATTGGCCTTTAGTTTACCATCGTATTTGTATAAATATTTTTGGATTTTATCCGAAATTATTATCGATTTTTTAGGTTTGTAGTTTAGGTTAGAAAAATTATAAATAACTGAGTCAACAGTTAATTTGTGTCAATATATAGATAATGAATCGAAGTTGGATGAATGCAAGTCGCATTAGTCAAGAGTACAGGAATGGAGTTGAAGAGTTCTTACAATATGCAAGAGAAAATGGGAAACCCAGCAAAGCGGCATATTATTGCCATATGTTTGATGTTTGAATCAGATACGTCAAGAAGTTGGAGAAATTCAACTCACTTGAAGACCTATTACAGTTAATTTGTATAATGATAAAGTAGCCGACGTACACACATGGTGCACTCTTTTCCTTGATCGGTCTTTTCTCCCCTTATAAAAAAGTGAAAAGGGGTTTTGGCCGACAAGGTTTTAAACGAGGCACCCATTAATGAAATTCATTTGCTGGTATTCCTACTCTTGTTTATACTTTTATTTTTTCGTGAAAGAGGCTTCCCTCTCGAGTGACCCCACTTGGCCAAGGATGTGCCTTCAGAATTCGTACAGAGGCTTCCCTCCCGAGTGACCCCACTCGGCAAAAGATGTGCCTTCGGAATTCGTACAAAGAGGCTTCCCTCCCGAGTGACCCCACTCGGCCAAGGATGTGGCTTCATAATTCGTACAAAGAGGCTTCCCTCCCAAGTGACCCCACTCGGCCAAGGATGTCGGGGAGCCATCATTTCGGTGACAACATTTCGATGAGAACGAAAATGAGGAATCCCTCCGAGCAGAGGTAGATATGATCGATGAAGTTCGCACTAAGGCCCAGATCATGGCCGAAGCCTGCAAGCAATGAATGGTCAGGCGATTCAACTCCACACTCTCAAAGAGGGAGTTTCATGAGGGAGACCTTGTTTGGAGGGTACAAGGATCGGTAAGATGCAACCCCAAAGAAGGAAAGTTAGCTGCCAACTGGGAAGGCCCATTCAGAATCTGACACAACCTTCAGAATGGAGCATACAAGCTAGAAGAGCTCTCGGGAAGAATCATTCCCAGGATGTGGAATTCAACTCACTTGAAGACCTATTACAGTTAATTTGTATAATGATAAAGTAGCCGACGTACACACATGGTGCACTCTTTTCCTTGATCGGTCTTTTCTCCCCTTATAAAAAAGTGAAAAGGGGTTTTGGCCGACAAGGTTTTAAACGAGGCACCCATTAATGAAATTCATTTGCTGGTATTCCTACTCTTGTTTATACTTTTATTTTTTCGTGAAAGAGGCTTCCCTCTCGAGTGACCCCACTTGGCCAAGGATGTGCCTTCAGAATTCGTACAGAGGCTTTCCTCCCGAGTGACCCCACTCGGCAAAAGATGTGCCTTCGGAATTCGTACAAAGAGGCTTCCCTCCCGAGTGACCCCACTCGGCCAAGGATGTGGCTTCATAATTCGTACAAAGAGGCTTCCCTCCCAAGTGACCCCACTCGGCCAAGGATGTGCCTTTGGAATTCGTACAAAGTGAAATCTGTAGTTATGGGGATGGATTCTAGGGGTCACATAATGAATTTTTTGAGTTTCAGGTATAGAGGCCGTTATCATCAAACGACTAAGCCGTTTGAAAGGGCTGAGCCCTTTAGGGGTTGTGTGATAAGGAAGGATCCCTGTAGGAAAAAGGCTGAGTGCTTTTCAAATGGCTGAGCCGTTCGAAAGGGCTGAGCCCTTCGAGGGCTGCGTGGTAGAGGAGAATTCCTAGAGGTAAAGCGTTGAGCGCTTTGGAAGGCGCTGAGCGGTTTTGTGCTTTCCGAATTAGACTTTGTTGTCTCTATAAAAGTTGTAGCCTTGTATGTTAGCTTTCCAATAGCGTTAGAATCACCTAAAAAAGAGGTCTAGAAATCTAGTTATGGATGTTTTAGTGAACATGGGTCAAGCTGTCAGCATGAACTATATTTGTTGCGGTTTTTGAAGTTTTTAGCTAAGTAGATGATTTTTTTAGAATTTCATGTATTCATAAGAGTTTTAGATTATCCTCTTATATTTCTTTTGAGATAGGTTTGAGCTTATTTGGATAAGTATAACTCTCTATGCTGTTTTCTTTGATAGTTGTCAAAGGGAGACGTATGTTATTTTGATGTTCTAAGGTGTTATTATGTGGATTGAAAAGTTGTTTAAAGCAGTATGCTACTAGGTTGCAGAGTTGGTTCATATATGAATGATATATGATGTAAATTGGTGCTTGATTCATATGCATGCTTGGTAATGATATTGATGTGTATGAGCATGTAGTGCAAATTTTGTGTATGACTTATTATTTTGAGTGGAAATGTTGATTGTGTGTGTGATATGACAATTGAGTTATGAAATGAGGTGTGATGTCTTGGCACAAATGCATGTGTGGCACGACCTTGAGCATGAGGTGCTACAGGGGTGGCGTGAGCATGACATAATGTGGGACGTGTGTGATAATTAGCACCTATGTCGGTGTTGCACAACCCTGAGCATGAGCTGCTACAGGAGTGGCGTTAGCATGGAATAGTGTGGGACGTCTGTGATAATTAGCATGTATGTCGATGTGGCACGACCTTGAGCATGAGCTTCTATAGGGGTGGCGTGAGCATGACATAATGTTGGTTGTATGATGCATGTGGCAATGAGTACATATGTCGGCATGGCACGACGTTGATCGAGTGATGTGACAACGGTGGCGTGAGCATGAAATAATGTTGATTGTGTGATGGTGGTGTATATGTATGATTGACATTTGATGATGAAATGTTGACTTATTATTGGTAGAACTTGAGGTGTATGAACCTGATGGAAATTGTAATTGTATAATGAGTTGTAATGGAAATTATGTTGTGAGGTTTCTTTGTGTGCTTTGCATATAGATGTTATCTTTTATGACTGTATAATTTATGGATATTTTAGGTGAGGAAGATCCAGCTATGAATGACATCCAAAATGCCAACAGTTGAGTTGCGGGTGTGCTTTGATATTGTGATACCAGGGTAAAGGATTTCTAGGACATGGATTTTTATATGCCTTTGGAGTTATACTTATTCTTTTGAAAACAATTTGTAAACTCTCATGTTTTATTTTCCAAGTTTTATTTTTAATTATTTTAGATATTGAAGAACATTCATGAAGGTTTATGTGGAGCCTTTTACCAATGTTGAAAATTTTATTTCTTTATTTATTTACATTATTAAAATATATGTGTTGGGTGTAATAGCCCAATTTTCACTAGGCCAAGGGCCTAATTAGGGTGGATCAGTAGCCCGGAACGGGCCGTTCCAAAAGTGGAACGGGCCGTTCCAAATGATGAAAATGAACCCATTTTTAAGTAGCAGAACAGGTCGTTCCAAAGTAGAAAATTTGCCTATTTGGGTTGTTCCAGAACGGGCCGTTCCCAAAGTGAAATGGGCCGTTTCGGAATAAGAAAAATGCTTAAAATATTTTAGTTGGAACGACCCGTTCTAGTGGAAAATTTTGTGTATACTTGAAGGTTCCGGAACGGGCCGTTCCGCTTTCAGTACAGGCCGTTCCGGTAGGTGAGCCAGAATTCCTATAAATAGACCCTCATTTATCTCATTTTCACACACCCCACTCGACCAAGGATGTGCCTTCGGAATTCGTACAAAGAGGCTTCCCTCCTGAGTGACCCCACTCGGCCAAAGATGTGCCTTAGGAATTCTTACAAAGAGGCTTCCCTCCCGAGTGACCCCACTCGGGCAAGGATGTGGAAAATAGTAAGTAAAAATATACAAATTAAGATTCTTCATTTCAACTCATTTAATTCATAAGTGTAGTTTAGGGTATACTTATTGTTAATATGTTGTAGGAGGGCTTAGTCCAGTAGAGCACCCAGGGCTCATTTCCTTCCGATGGTCGGAATGATATCCTCAAACCGGCCATAGAAAGGCAAGAGCACGGAGGCCGTGTGCTTGGTGTTGGTGGTTCTTGGAGCCACTGAGATTTTTTTGGTGCCTGATCATTGAGGAGCATTATTGACTCTTGCAGTCAAGAGGATATGCAGAGAATGGAGCAGAGATTGGAGAGTCAGTTTCAAGAGAGATTGAAGAATATTCAAAAAGAGTTTGAACAAAAGTTTGAACTTTTGGCTCGTTCTCAGCAACAGACTGCAGTTGCTCATGATGGTGTTCGAGTCAGCACTAAAGGGAGTTGTGATGCTCCAAATCCCTCACCGGATCAAACTCACACTAATGTACCAAACGAGTGTGAGTTATATGTTCAGGATGACCCCCCACGGTTATTAGCTATTGGCCGAGTATTTGAGGGTGGCTCAACCATCCATGGTGTCCCTCTATAGCCAGACTGGACACGGGTTGTGGTTGACCAAGTTCAAGATGCTGCTGCTCCAGTGCCTTTGCCCAATACAGAGGTTCAACTAGTGGGGCAGGCAACCGACACATTCTTAGCTTGGCCAAAACGTTTGGTCATGCCGCTTTCAGCACGGGCAAAGGTAATTATATTATTGCTCTTTTATATTCTTATAATTCTATTATTGTTTAACTAATTTTGATTATTTCTTTAGGATTTTATCAATCGTGGTAAGGAGGTCATGAGAGAACCTCATGTTGATGATGCTGATATCGTAGAAGCTGAGGGTGATCCCATATCTAAGCTTCTAATCATATTACCACGATTAAAGAAGAAGCCAATTCAATTGCAGTGGGACATTAGAGTTTTTGGAGTTGATAGCTCTGATGTTCCACTATACATATCTCTGCCTGATGCATTAGAGATTGTTGGGGGAAACTCCATGTTAAATATATCTATCATACAGCTGTGGGCCATGTAAGTCATATTTTCTTTTATGAGTCTAAATTTACAATAATTACATTTAACTTATAATAATTATTTGTGTTAGGTACATGGACAAATTGAGTGTGGAGCAAGCACAAGCAGAAGTATATGGATTTATTGAGCCTCAATCAATCCAAAAATCAGGAAACACTCAAGTCCAGATCCAGCAATATATGCAAACATGGATGAGTGACTCAAGAAGAGATATATTCATGGCTCCATACATTGACGGGTTAGTATTTTAATTGGTTTTTTAATCATGGTAATTTTATAACTAATTTGTTTGTCATATAATGTAGGTCCCATTGGCAATTAATGGTAATCATTCTTAAGGAATACACCATGGTGTGGTTTTGTTCACTACATCGAAAACCAAGCCACAAAGTTAAATGCCAATTACAAGCGCATGACGAGAGTCTTTGTGCTATATTTGTTAATTTATGAGGATATGTAGAGTAGAATGTGATGAGGAATGTGAATAGATTAATGTTACAAAATGTGTAATGGAATTGCATGATTGATTGTGAATTTACATGGTGTGAGATATGTGTGACGATTGAGTATGTGATATATATGTGTCTTGAGTATACATAAGATATGTGCAATGATTGGGTATGATTCGTGTGTTATGAGTATGAGATATGCGCCATGAATATAAGTCTTCGGCCCACGAGTATAAGCCTTCAAGCCATGGGTATAAGCCTTTGGGCCACAGGTATAAGCCTTTAGGCTACAAGTATAAGCCTTTAGTCCATGAGTATAAGCCCTTGGGCCATGAGACTAACTTTGGGCCATGAGTATAAGCCTTCGCGCCACAAGTGAAGTTATTGAGAATTTGAACTAATTGTTATCTTTGTAATTACATTATTGCCTATTATGAATTAGAAATTCTACTTTGTTCTTTTTAACATATGTTAGCTATATTAGAGTGAGAGGTTTCTCACTCCTCTATTTTCTGTTGTTAAATGTTGAGTGTGTTATGGGTAATGATTATCATGTTGATGATGTAGACAATGAGTAGGAATGAGAATTAGTCAAGCTAGGCCAGACTTTGAATATGAGGGTCACGACTATTGTACAATTAAAGTTTAAGCCTGACATATTATCTATCATAGGCTTTATTTATAAGTCTTGTCTGGCCTATTAGCTTATTTAAAAGCCTATTTTATATTAATAATGTTAATTAGGCCAATAAACTTAAATTTTAAAAAAGCAACAAAGAATATAGTTTACTCAATATTATTATAATTTAAAATTTTAAATATATACAATGTCACAAAGAGGGAAAAAAGTAAATCATTTTCTATTAGAGGGAAAATTTATGTATAGTTACATATGTTGGGGTAAACTTTATAATGAAAAAGTATAATTTTATACAAAGAATATTTTAAATGTTTCCTATATCTAATATCTTGTTTGACATATTCTAAATAATTGTCTCGTGATTTAACAAACTAAAATAGTCATGATAACAATTTATAAACAAAAAAATACTTATTGTACATGAGATGATCTCTAGGGTATGAGTATGTATACAATGCCACAAAGAGAGGATAAATGAAATTATTTTCTGTTAAAAGGACAATTCATGTACATGCATATACACTAACGTACACTCATGCACAGGCTATGATAAAATAGTTAATTTTAGTTTTAAATATTTTTAATTATTTCAATTATCTCATTTAACATACTTTCAATAACCAACTCCTATTTTAAAAAATAAAAATAGTTATGATAATACTTATTCAAATTATTGGTTTGATTATAGAAAAATTTAGTAATTTAAAATCATGACACAATTATTCAATACAATTATTTTTTTATTAATATTAATAAATATATATATATATCTAGGAGATGCATGATATTTATTTTCTACCTAAATTTTATCATGTTTTTTTTTTTATTTTACTAAAGGTTATGATGCATGATTTTTGCTATATATATATATATTTATTTATTTTTTTATTATATTATATATATAAATAGGTTGGCCTATTAGGCCTAACAGACTTTTTTGTAAGCTCAAGCTTAACCTTTTTAAATAAATAGGCTTTTCTAAAAGTCTAAACTTAGCATTTTTATTAAACAGGTTAGATCATTCTAGCCTTTAAAAAGGTCAACTCATAGACTCCTATTTAAGATTTAGCATATTCCCATCCCTAGTGACGAGGTAGGAGTCTTGTTGGGGGTGCATATACTTTGATAGGATGTGACACCATTGGGTGTAGCATAAGATTTTCTTATTATTGAGTTACGATTAATGTTAAACATTTTATTTGTTATCTTATGAAGATATTCTTTCGATTGAATAACATGTTTTGAATTTTGTGAACATTACTAAACTTGAAGACCATTACAGTTATTGTATTTGCAACAATTTTAATATTTCCTTAGGGGTAATGAGTGTCACAAAATGCTAATATTTTGAGATTTTTTGTGGGTTTCTAAAGAATTTAAGAAGAAAGTGTTGATGAGTGATTGTTGGGTTGCATGTTGAAATATATTGTTGTTGAGCTTCCATTAAGGTTAGTTTTTCTTCCTACGAAATTTAATTGAATTTCTAACCAAGGACTCAAAAACACGGCAAGTGCACCGATCGTTCAAGTAATATATATGAGATATCCACAGGGACTAGATAAGGTAAAATAAGCCTTTAATAACTATTAGTGACTAAAAAATGATTCCATTATATAATTCATGACTCATATGGAAGTAAATGATAGTTTACGTGTATGGAAGGGGTAAGACATGATCATGTGGAATTGTGAAATTGTGAGGGTTAGACTTCACCGAACTACACTTTTATGAATTAATTCTTCTTTTGTTCAAACATTGTTTAGTCACCCCATAAGTATCCTAATTCCTTAGAGAAGGAGCCTAGGAACATATATTGGATATCAATCCCTCGAGTATCCAATATATGAACCCTCATTAATGACTACGGTTTGAGACTACTAATGGGTCAAGCTCCATTCCTAGATACAATTTCCATTAGGTATTTTTCTTCAAAACTAGTTATAAAGGTAATTTTCCAACACGCAATGAAGCCTATATCAAGCAATGGAAGATCAATCCAAAGCAAGCATTAAAAATAGAAACACAATACAACAATGAATCAAATAAGCATTTATCATTGATAGGATAGATAATACATAAGAGTTTAGTTAGTTACATTTAACCCCAAAAAAATTGGGTACAACCATTCAAAAATATTGAGGGCAAATCAAAATTAGTGATGGAAGAGAAAATGGAAGAACTGAAGGAAAGATTCACACATGGCACAATCCCAAGCAATAGAAATCCCTTTCACAGTTCCTAGAAATCACCCCTTGTGTGAATGAGGGGAAAACCCTTGAAAATGTGTTCAAATACGAGTTGGATGAGTTAGGGTAGGTTCTACGCGCCTGGTGCAATATATTTTCGTGCTCGACACAAAATCTTCTAGTGAGTTGTTGTTCTCTACCTAAAATCATGTCCAGTGCAAATACATATTTGCCCGACACAATAGTGAATTTCAGAGAGTGATGCTCTCTATCTTGAGCATGCCCGAGACACCAACGTATAAGTCCAGCGCAAAGTACTTTCTCCTACTCCTTAGCTTTTCATTTTTGGCTCTTTCAAGCTCCAATTCCATGGATCCTCATCATCAACTCTTCTACTTAATACCTACACAAAAAATAAAGTGTATGAGGGTATTGTTAGATGAATTTTTTGAGTTAGCTATATATGCACAAAATTTGAATCAAGAGAGAACAAATATTATGCAAGATTGAATGAAGGAGTTAAATTTGCTTAATAATTTGTATTAGAAAGTAAGTAGAAATGGGACTTAACAATTGTACATATGAGTTGTTTATGATGTGTAGTTATTGTGATTTTTGGTATTGCATGTTACTTTGAACTGAATTTCAAGCAATGAGAGCCAAAATTGTACATTCTACCAAGTGTAGGAATCACCATCGTGTCGGGGGCAACTTCATGATTTCAGGTGTGATTAGGGGTGGGTATATGGACTCAAGCCTGCAGACCGGTCCGTTTAGCCTGTGGTCCACATGGATATGGATCCAATTTTTAAAATTCATATAAGAATAATAAAGTTTCTGGCCCGGCCTGCAAAGTCTATGGACTTCGTGGACTTCGCATGTGAACCCTGCGGGTAGCCCATGTAAGAACAACAATTTTTTGTTAGTATATGTAAACTTTGCTTTTCAAGAGTTTGATATATTATTACCAATGTTTCATGTTGTTACAAATATATTTATATTAATTTTTATGTATTTTTTCCTTTATGTTTTCATAGATTAAGGAAGGAGAAACAAAGCTCATTGATTTTTTCAATATTTATTAAAACAAATCAAACATAATTGGGTTTAGGGTAAAAATAATTGGGTTCACGGACTAGCCTGTTTATCCATGGCTTTCATGGGCTGAATACGGACCCTAAAAAATAATCCATTTATTTCACGGGTCGGGATTATCTAGCCCGTTAAAAATGCAAGCTTCATGGTTTAGGCCTTAAATGGGTCAGACTAGTCCATATACTCACCCCTAGGCATGATGTAGGCTAGAGGCTCCTCTACCTCACTAACATTGAGCACGAAATTGGTAGCTTCGAGTGTGAGTTAGAGGCGAGCTCTCTGACTTAGTCACATTGAACATGGGTTAAGGGGTATTAGGCATGGTTGCCTCAAAGGCTCTTTGACATGGCGATGCCAAACCCTAGTTGAGTGGTGCTAGGCATGATCAAGGTAGTAGTTCTTTGCTTGGACCAAGCCGAGCCTAGGTTGAATGGCATTAGACATGAGTCAAATAGAGACATTTTGTCCAATTTTGGTCAAAAGTAGGTATAGTTACATCAGACGCGATTAACACAAAGGTTCTTTACCTCATCCATGTCGAGCGCTAGTAGATTGGCATCGAGCATGGGTTACTAAATGAGAATTTGTTGTTTATTTGAGTAAGTGTTGAATATGTGTTAAATAGATTACTCACATGAGTTATGTGATTGTGTGATTCTAGTTCATTATGCACGGATCTAGGATGATGTATAATGATGTTTAGTTGCTTAAATTGCAAGTTGACTATAAATGAAAGTCATAATTTAATTTATAGTATAGTTGTACGATGATAGGATGTGTAGTGTTGGATTATGTTGTGAATGCTTAATGCATGTACTTATACTATGATGATTGACATGGGACTAGAGAGGAAAGGTGTTGTTTTAAAAGATGAATATTCCATTGTGAGGATATGGTGTTGTGGAGCTCTACAAGCTCAGTTGTTGAAAAATCCTTCTTGAGTATAGTTGTCTCTTGGAGTGGAGTGTTTAGTCTCCTTTTGGTCCTTAGTTAATACAATATAGGGGTCAGGCCGAGCCAAATTGATTAAAAATGACCAATATAGAATCATATTGGGGCAAGGTTGAGCCATACATGTAT